ATAGTTTGTACCATATGGTTGGTTTCTATTTGAACCAGACCCTATATATATATAAATATATATATATGGTATATTTTAAATGCAACCATGTTCATTCGTACAACCAATGCAACCCAATCAATTAAGATATTTATGCAAATGATGAGAATTCATTTATTATGATTTGAATATTTACGGAAGATGACTAGAGTTTATTAATTATGATCAATACTTTATATTATGAAACAATCAAAACTTTTATGAAATCACATATTTATCAAATTAAATGCACGGTTGAGATTGAATTGTATTGGTTGTATAAATGTAAAAAGTTGCATAATAACTCACATCTCTCTCTCTCTATATATATATATGTATATTCAAATCTGTATCTTATGAATGCTTAAAACTTATAAACAAAATTCTGGTTTCACAATGTATTTTATTTATTTTTATACATAATTTTCTTCAAAAAAAAAAAAAAAGTAGAAACTTGATGAAGAGCTTTGGCAAACTTGTTTTTAGTGATAAGATAATGTTTGACCTAAATATATTCCCCAAAAGCCCCTTTTGTAAGGTGGTGGGGACTAACATGAACCACTTTGTGTGAAGCTTGGTTTTGATTTTGAATGTGGTGGGCAAAGCTACAAAATCCATCACTTGTGGGTTAAAAGTGGGCAGATTCTTGTACTTTTTAGCCTCCCCATGTGTCAACCACTTCTTCAATACAACCAACTTTTATATGCATCCAATGTTGCTACATTGGATGCATAAACGACAAGGTTGAATAGTGGATTCAGTAATTTAGGTGATCAGATCATTTAGTGGCTTAATAAAATCTGACCATAACTTGCATTTGGCCATGGTGGGGTTGGGGACTAGTGGTCCTTGTGGCTGATTCATACATTTTGATTTTCATCATGAACCCTTATTTTAATTCGAGATGGAATTTGGTTGTTTCAAAAATTTTGTTACATCGATATTTAAATTTGTCAACGATGTTAGATAACTATACTGGTTTGAGAATTCGTCAAGAAAAAAGAGGATTTCTATTTTGGGCAAACCATGTTTAAAGTGGATATATTTTCATTTATTTACCATTTTGGGAAACATATTTCCAAAATGCATGTTTAGAAATATATCTGGTCTATATTTTTGAAAAAAAAATACATTTTTTATTCTGATGTAATTTATGAAAGTATGGATAAAAAAATATCAATTTGATTGAATAGTTGACTTAACCTTTTACTGTTTGTAAAAACCCACCACTTTAATTGGTTTACGAAAAGCAGATATGAGATGACAAGTCTGGTGTTCGACTGTTATATTTCAAATATTAGACAATTAAATAAACATTTTTCACATTTTAAATATTTATCATCATATTTTTGGTTGAGCTTTTTTGAAAGTTTAGTAAGGGGTTGTTTGACAGTTACTGAATGATTTGGTGCATAATGATTAAGTGGTCAGAATGATTAAGAGGTTTTCATGATATAGTGCAAAAGAAAATATAATTGTTTGGTAACTGTTTACAATGAAATTATGACGCCTAATGGTTAAGGGAGACTCATGATACAAAATCATTCAAAGGGTTTTAGAACCATTAAGAGATATTATTTTTTTGTCAAACAAGATTCACCTCTTAACGATTCAGATGCTGACTTTTAATGAAACTATTAAGAAGTAAACAAACAACCCCTAAGATGAGACACTTTCACAAAGGAAGAAGATGAAGATAGGGAAGAAAGCAATGTTTAAATTACCCTTTTACCCCTTTAAAAGCACACGCATAACAACGTTATTTGATGGAGGCGTTACTTTTGGATTACTTTTGTAAGCGCTTCTTTTAATTGTAAGAAGATAACGTCTTTTTTATTTAATGAAGGATAAGATTCATAATTCATTTAGAGTGCGTTTGATAAACAGATTGGGTGGGATGAGATTGAACAAAAAAAATAGTCTCATATTTAGCATGTCATGTGACAATAATGCTTGAAGGTAATGTCTGTTTTAAATTTTTGGGTCATTTAACTTTATAAACTATGGTCATTTTTTATAAAATAATTTCCCAACTTGCAGTTTATTTCATGATCATTTGTAGCATTCATGTTCAGTCTTTACGTCAAAATTAACCAAAAAATTATATATATATATATATATATATATATATATATTAGTAATTTGCCATTTGTATCGATTCTTCTGTATACCATAAGATTGAACGATGAATAAACCTTACTATCTTATATATATATATATATATATTAGTAATTTGCCATTTGTATCGATTCTTCTGTATACCATAAGATTGAACGATGAATAAACCTTACTATCTTATGTGATTCTTTATAGAAGTGGCGGATCAATTTACATTCGTTTGTTTGTTTTCTAGATCTTGTGGAAAAGGATTATTTTACACCAAAAACAATATATATTTAACATGAGAGACGTGTGATTTCAGGGTTACTAAGTTAAATAATTAAAAGGTCATGCTCGTAACTGAAAACTAATTTAAGTCATTTAGTTAAGTAACCAAATTATAGTAAACTACCTGTAATGTCAAACACTGTTTTATTTATTTATTTATTTAGGAGAATGCATCCTGCCACTGGCGTGACTTTGCTATTTACCATTTGTTGACTAAGACTATGGCGACATCCAACCTCTTGAACCTAGAAATATTGACGTTGGTCTGCAAATCATGGAGGTACGTGCTCGGTTGTTACAAGAGGCAGAGTTGTATACATCTTGAGGGGTACAGTTCAATCATAGTTATGACCACCACTGACCAAGAAAGTCTAGATTCATTGAGGAAAGATATGCCATATGTGTCAACTTCAACTATGATGGATGCATAATTGGTTATAGGAAGACCTTAAAGAAAGAAGGTATGACTTTGTTACAGGAGAGTTGTCGAGTTCAGTGACTCTGTTGAACTGTATATTGTTTTTTTTTTATTAATTACAGAGTCTGTAAAAAACGAACAGCATACGTGATGATAATAAGTATTGTCCAATTACTTCAAGCCCAGTTTGCATATGACAATCTTCATTATCATGATCAGTATGTATGCCACGCCATAATTCACACAGGTGCCACACAAGGAGCACATAGACGATACATCAGACAACCGATGTCATATTAACATCCAAAAGATTTATAAATTACTTAATATTTAAAATTAGAAAAAGTAAAAAAAAAAATAGATTGTTTATGTATAAAATAAAAGTATGTTGTTATTTTACACTGTTTATTTAGAGGGAAAAGTCTAAAAAACCAATAGACTTTAATATTTGGAATGATTAAGTCATTGGATAATTTTTTTGAATAAATAAGTCACTGGACATTCTAAAACCTGTTAAATAACTTCTTGAACTTTATAAAACCTGTGATATACATCTTTATAACTTATACAACTGGTTAATGTGGTAAAATAATGGAAAACGTCTGAAAAAAAAACCAATTGACTTTTATATTTTGAACGATTAAGTTCATAAACATTTTTGAAAAAAAGTACTTACATATATAAAATGAAATAAATATACTAAAAAGTATTAACATTTAAAAAAGATTATTGATGAAGTTTATTTTAATTAAAATTAAAATATATGATTTAGAAAGAATTGCTAAT